TTAATGAAATGAATTACATTTTGAAACATGCTCAGGGCATATGTATGAAAATCATGTTTACAACCATTTGAAGTTATAATGCAGGGCCTGTAAGATGGCTCAGCAGGTAAATACACTTTCCATCTGAATTTGACCCTCTGAACCCACATGGTAGAAAGAGAAAAACAACTCCAATCAATTATCCTCTGACTTGAACATTTGTACAAAGGCACACACATGCACACAACAAGCATGCATGCATACATGCACACACACACACACACACACACACACACACACACACACACAAGTATATAAGCAGATACAAACAACTTTTAAGTTATAATTCAAATCAACTTGCTTTTCAACACAATAAGATGCTTTACTGTAGTAGCCATCTTTTATCAGAAAAAAAATATTCTGTTGTCTACCAAACAGAACTGTAGAGTTGGGGATAAGCAGTATAATGTAAAGATAAATCTTACAGGACCTCGTCCCTTAAACATGGTGCAGTCTAGTGTAAAATCTCAATTCCAAAACAAAGCCCAGCCACTTGATTCTACAGTTCTGTTTCTGCTTATAGATGTTATTCATTGCCAATGGACCTTTAGTTTTGTTTTAATTCTGCATCTAAAGGCCTTTGGGCACAATTTCTCCATTTCTCCACAGACTCTAAGGCTTCCTATTAGTTTATATCAGGCTGTTTCATAGATGTTTGCTACCTATCTGGCCACGGAAGGCATTTAAATTTACAAACCCCAATATACATACTAATGTATTAAATTCACCTTAACCAGCAATGAGAAGTACTTTATCTCAAAATTGTCACACATGCCATGTAGCCCTTATTGGAAATATTTTTTACGTATCTGTCATGCACAGACCTGGGACAGCTATGAGGAGTAAGAAAAGACTCTAGCAGCCAAAACTAATGTCCTTATTCATTATCTACCAGAGGGCAAATTATTTACATGTATAACAATGCATTTGAAACACATTTTCTGAGCATCATCATCAATTTCTTCAGATACAAAAGAGGTTCATTTAAATGGTTCTCAGGGCATAAAAACCATTGCCCACAGGAAGCAGCAGAGATAGCTTCATTCTCAAAACCAAGCATTATTAACATGTCAAAATAAATACCAGGCAGAAATATAGCAAGGGAATACAGTGTCTACAGGCAATGTAGTCCAAACCCTCCATAATCCAGATCCACATGTCCAAAAGCAGCCTTAGACTAAACCAAGTTTGGCAGTGCCAATTAGCCTGAGTGGATGTTGCTTTCCCCCTTGGACAGATCTGTTGACAGAGCATCCCAGAAAGTTATTAAGTGTCTTCTTTCATGTGTCATAATTCTTTTTTTATATGTGCTTAAATTCACTATAAACAAGGAAAAGCAGGCACTATATAAACAGAAGCATTAATAGTATAAATCTCACCTAGAATATAGGAGCCTGGCTCACCGTCTACATAAATAGCAATGGTGGCTCTTTGCCGTCTGTCCCCTCTGTGGATTCTTCTCTTTTGGTATATGTTATCCCTCATCCTCACCTACTGTTTCTTCAGGGGACTAGTAATAGCTCCCTTTCTCATCAGGTGTAGCCTACCACAGCTCTCCCCATTTATAGACTTCTTGCCCCTGCTGGTGAGACTTGAACTCTTAGGCTCTTGGATTTTACAAATGAGTCACACAATTAGCCTTCTAGCTTCAGTGCATGGCTCAAAAGTCATTAATATGCATGTTATCCAACAGGCTATTTATCCATCTTGTGCTTTGCAATGGTCTGGTGGGACTCTGTGTTATCTTCTAAGACCAGTCTTTTCCCACAAATTTTGTTTTTCACCAAGAGATGGGTAATAGCTCTAGGTGTCAACAGCAATTGTATTACCCATTTCATGAAAGTCCCTGGCTTTACCACAGTGTGGGTGTCCTTCTCCACAGTCTCCACATCACTTTCCAGACCCTTCTTTGAGTTTGCCACACTTCAAAATAAACAACCAACTTACAAAATTTGGAACTTCTGCATTTGTGTAAAACTGAAGGCCAGAGGGATTTTTGATGTGAGGTCAGGCAATATCAATAAAAGTGAGTAAACCAAGCAAAACAAGAGGTCACTGCACACATGCATGCATGCATACACACATACACACATACACACATACACACACACACACACACACACACACACACACACACACTACTGTTATTGGCAGAGATGGAAAATGGTCTTCATTTTCCTTACATTCTGCTTTTTAACAGGTCAAAACTACCACAAGATTGCAAGCAGGCTGCACTTCCCAGTGGGCACTTAATCCTCCCTCACCTGTCAGGAGTGATAGTTAGAAAACACCATCTTTTCTAGATTATGCCCCTTGATTACGAATCCTAGTCTCAAAAACCACACTGGTTACATATAAACTTGAGTCACCTGGGAAGAGGATGCCTCAGTTAAGGAATCGCTCCATGACACTGGCACCTGGGCATGTTCATGCACTATTTTCTTGATTAATGATTGATGTGGAGGGCCCAGCCCATAGAGAAAGGTGCTATTCCTGGGCAGGTGGTCCTAGTTGGTCCTGGTAGTATTAGCAAACTGAACAAGCCATGAAAGGCCAGCCAGTAAGCAGCGTTTCTCTAGTTTCTGCCCTGACTTCCCTCAATAATGGACTATGATAAGGAAGTGTAAGCCAAATAAATAAAGCCTTTCTGCCCCAAGTTGCTTTTGCTCAGCATGTTTTTAATCCCAACAACCTAGAAGCAAACTAGGGGAAATTCAAGGGGAAAAAATGGAGGCCGGGAAGAAAGAGGGAGAGAGAAAAAGACAAAAGAAGATGAAAAATGGCCTAATGAACTCTACCAATTACAAGTGTCTTAATGTATGAAGCTAAGACAGCCAAGGATATTAGGGGCATAATAAGAAATTTCCTTATTACAAGAAAGTCTGCCAGCCCTTGTAAGGAAGGTTTCAAATTATAGGTATTATATTTCCCCTAGAAAAAACAAAAGTACAAACAAAGAATAACACCCCTAAAGCTATCCAAGTCCTAATCTAATCCTCAGAACCTGTGAACATGTTGCTCTTTTAGATGTTATGTATGGGCCTTTTAGAAAAAACATAAAACAGGGTAGTTGTGGCTGTCACAGAACTCATTCTGTAGACCCAGTTGGCCTCAAACTCAGAGAGATCTGCCTGCCTCTGCTTCCTAAGCACTGGTATTAAAAGCCTATGTCTAGGTCTTGAGATGGGGAGATTATCATAAATGAAAAAAAAATAGAGCTACTTCTATTCTGCCTTTCCTTTTAGGAGAGAAATATATCCATGGTTCCTACCTCTCTAACAAAAGTAGGAAACAGAGGATACACTGAAAGAGCTTCATGGGGTTTTTCATTCCATTTTAAAGAAAATTAAATATATATATATTGAGATGTCTGAGGAGACATCTCAATCAGTAGAGTGCTTGTCTTAGAAGCACAAAGATCTGAGTTCATTCCCAGAACCTATGGTTAAAGAAACATAGATAGATGATAGTGAATAAATAAAATAATAAAAATAATTTTAAAATAAATAGAATAAAGTAATAAAAATAGATTAAAGTAATAAATGAAAATAATTTTTAAATAAATAAAAAAAGGTCTGGGCATGGTAGTACTTGCTTGTAATACCAGTGCTAGGAAGGTAGAAATGGGTAAACCCCAGTTAACTACTTGTTGACTTTCAGGCCAGTGAGAGATCCTGTCTCAGAAAAGATGGACAATGCCTAAAGAACAACACTTGAGACTGTCCTCTGGATCTCTACTCACATGCATAAACATACACACATGCACACATACATGTATGAACACACACACATACATATACACAAGAAAATGCATTTCCATTTTTATCTGTATATAGGTGTATGTATTCTGTATGTATATGTGTGTTCGTAAGTGAGCCTGCTTGAAGGTCAGAGGTCAATATTAGAAATTTTCTTCTATTGTTTTCCACCTTAGCTTTGGAGACAAGGTCCCTCACTGAACCCGGACCTCACTGACTGGCCAGCAAGATTTAGGATCAGTCTGTCTCCCACCACCACCAAGCTGAGATTTCAGGCACAGGCTAATAGAAGGGTGCTGAGGATTTGAACTCAGGTCCTCATGCTTGCATAGCATGCCCTTTCCACTAAGCCATCCCCCAGCCCAGAAATAAAATAATTTCTTGTTGGGAGTAAAGAGTGTTCCTTCACTATATAACCGTGGCAAACACTCAACTGAAGACTGCCTTTCCTTACCACGTGGTTACATTCATTTAAGCTTTCTGTCCCTACAGGTTGGTGAGCTTCTAAACATCTTTCTATTCCTAGTCTGATATCATGAAAAAGCATGGTGTGTAAGCTTTCTAGATTTGATTCTTTAGCATCTTCAACACAACATTCAAGCCTACCTTTCTTCTTAACATCGATTGCCTGGGGAAGACCTTTCCTGTTATAACATCTAGTCAATGTCTTCTGGGTTTGTACTTAAAATAACCGTTGAGCCTGAATTTCTTAATGCTGTCTTAAATCATACCTGATTATAACCATATCAACTTGTCAAATACTACTAGATGCAATTCCTACTCTGCCACAAATATACACCTTTTCAGTAAAGTACAGCTATAGACCAAGTCTAGCCCAGCTCTGGCTTTTGTGAATAAAGTTTTATTTAAAATACATCCAATAAGCATTCGTTTATGTATTATCTATGGCTACTTTTGTTCCACAGCAGCTGAACTAATTTTGACAATCATTACATGGCTCTCAAACCTAAAATACTAACACTTTATATCTATCCTGCTAAACTCTACACAGGAAGACTAAAATATATATTTTGGTAGTTAACAAACCAAGAGTTAATTATCTTTTATAAAATAAAAACATAGCTAGGGTGAAGTCATGCTCTCCCCAGAACATGTGCCTAGGATTCACAGTTACTGGCCATGAGTTTTATTTCACCATACAATTAAGACTGAACAGATTTTTCAAGTCAAAAATTAACTCACCGTGGCTAGTTTCTGAACATCATCATCTGATGCTCCCAGAGACGCTAAGCCTATTTCTTGTGAAAATTGAGCAAATTTAGGATCTGCAAGCAGTGGAACGTGTCCCAAGAGTTCATGGCATGTATCTCTGTAATGAAAAAGAAATCAGGAAGGCATGTTACACAAGAAGTTTTAAACTACCACCTGTAAACCAAGACTTAAAACCCTAAATATTGTCTTATTCTATAAATAATTACCATTAATCAGACCTGAAATGCAGATGCATCCTATGATTACTGACAACTTAAGTTGGATGATATGTCATACCTACATTGATTTGTAGGGAGATTTGGGAAGGGTATGAAAGAGAGAGAAAGCACACGTGTCCATGAGAGCAAATGTGTGCATGTGCCCACGGAGGCCAGGGACAACCTTGGGTGTCATTCCTCAGGTGCCATGGGCCATTTTTTTCTCTTTTGAGACAGTGTTCCATTGGCCTGGAACTCACCTAGTAGACTTAGCTACCCAGACAGTGAGCCCTGGGGTCCAGCTGTCTCTGCCTCCTCACCACTATAACCTGACTTTTTCTTAACATTGGTCCTGAGCTCAAATTTATGTCCTCATGCTTGAGAGCAAGCACTTTACCACCTCAGTCATTTCCTTAGGCTAGGGTATAATACTTTTAAGAAACACAATAAAAGCCATTGCTTTTTTTGGAGACATGGCCCTTCCATATTGCCAGTGGAGGCCTGGAACTGCTTCCTCAGGTAAGAAGCCTTCCCAGATCTGCTTCCTCAGGTAAGAAGCCTACCCAACAGGCATGAGCTACCTCTCAGGAAGCCATGTCTGTTTTTTAGTGTTACTTAGCGAATAGTATTTGCTTTATATGACATCTTGTCATTCTCCAGACTGCCTTAGGAATGGAACTTCTTAGTGTGAGACCTTGCAGCTCAGGATAGGCAAGCTACTAAATCACTCCCAATTTGGCCATGTTATAAACAAAGTTTGACTGAAACACAGCCCTGCCCATTTATAGAGGTATTGTCTACAGTCATTTTTTGTCAACAACCACAGAGTCAGATATCGGTGACTGAGATCATATTTTTGCAAATTATAAGATAATTGTTAGCTGGCCCTTTAGTAGAGAAAGCTCGCTGATTTTCAGCATAGGTAGTAATAAACTAAATTAAATTTAGGCCGGAGGATGCCTTTGAAATTGAGTCTTTGTATAACAACTGTGGCCTAACTTGGTAGAAAGTGACTGAAAGCCTAATTTGGGAGTAAAGTCTTATAACAAATAGCTGAATCTCAGCCAATTCCAGCAACTCAACTTCAATCCCAGGTGGCTAGCTGATTCAAATAAGGCAATCACCCAGGTATCATCAATTAAGCTGTCCCTATGGGTCACTTCCATTTTGTGCCCATAATTGTTCTCTGACCACCTTGCAGCCTTGGCTCACCGTGGTTTTAAGGCCCAACTCAAGAATTACAAATAAAAGTCACTTAAGAGAGAGAGAGAGAGCTGCTTGTGATTGCACTAATTATAGTTTTAAAATAAATCTGTTGCATTTTGACAATAGTAATAATCCAAAATTGGGGTACAACTTGTCATGATTTTGAAAATCCTGTGCTCATCGTTAAATTCTTTTGTGCCCTTGTTAGACTTCACAGGGTACTGAGAAGCACCAGAGGATCATATGTTGTCATTAAAGTCACTGTCCACAGAAGCTGATCCATGGTGTGGGCACACACTCACTTCCTTTAAGAAAGGCCATTAGAAGATCCTCCCAGTTCTCCCATCTGGACATGAACCTGGAAATAACAAAGGTCTGCCATGTTCTCATTTGCTAGAGCTTCCATTTGGATCTGGGTAAGTAAGGAAGGGGTGGGTATATGTCACAACTGAATGAGGCAGTTGCCCTCCTAAGTCATTGTCATAAATAATGTTTCCTGAGAGCAGGCTACATTGAAATTAATTTTCCCATAACTCTCTGAGCATGGATCGAGATGCAGAAAGATTTATGTTCATAATTTTAAAAAAATAGGGTACATATAGTAACTGAATGATATTTCTGAATTCATCTCTGAAATGTATCACTTCATAGGTTCTGTAAGACCAAAGTCTGGTGCTACTGCCATTATTACAAAAACAAAGTTAGGTGACCATACAATGAATCGTGGTAAATGGTATGAGCTTGACAGCCACATGAAACAGATGTCACTCAAACAAATAACCTTGTTCTCACAACTCAAACCACTTGACCAAGCATGTCATAGACAGACCAGGTTGAGCGTTTGTATGTAATATCCTGCCCCTTTGTTCAGCAGGATGCAATACCACCACCTTCCTGTCCAACTAAGCATCTGAAACACACTGAGCTTCAGAGATGCTGCAGTTTCTCCAGCTTTTGTGGATCCAGAAGTCTGTTTTTTCTCATTCCCTTGATGCCACAATCTCTGGAGCTTTGCAAGGATGAGGCAGGAAAGAACACACTGAGCAGGTTGGGGATGTGGGTCTGTGGGTCAGTGGTTAAGGCTCTTGCTAAACAAACACAGGACTTGAGTTTGGATCCCCAGCACCCAAGTAAAAAGCACGGTATCTGTTAACCCCAGAGCAGGGGGATGGAGACAAGACAGCCAGAACAGTAAGCTCCCCATGTTCAAGAAGAGACCCTGTCCGCCAAACACAGGTGGATAGTGACAACAGAAAACACCCTAGTTCAACTTCTGACCTTCAACATATATAGAGAGAGAGATAGATGCACATATGCATATACATGCATGCATGCATGCCATATACAAGCATGTACATACAAAAGTGTGCTGAAACTTTATGAACTGGATACAGTGCTAAAGGTTTTCACGTCATGCTATAGACTTAACCTTTCCCTTACAATTAAGCTTTATTATAACCTTTTGGTCAATGGGGAAACTAAAATTGAGTAAATTTATTATTCCCCATGGTTATACTTTCAGTAAAAGACAACAGACAAGACTTGAAATTCTCCTGGTTCGAAGCTGTATTCTTTCTGTTCTGTGCTGGTTTACAGATACAGTGTAAATGTGGAAGACCATGTCTCAGAGCATAGACAGAGAGCATAGTCCACATAGTTATCATAAGGAAAGCCATAGTTAGCATGAACTGGACCTCTCTTCTGCCAGTACTAGCCCCATGCTTCCAAATCACTTGAGGGCCTTTTTAAAGATGCCAAGTGTCTAGACTCCACTTATGACCAGCTCAATCAGGCTTCCTGGGATTGACCAGGAAATCTTTTAGAGCTCCCCACGTGAAAGAGAGACATAGTCAGAGCAGAGACCCACTCTCACACCTAATGGCACTGGATGCTCCCCCAACAGGCTTACCAATAAATAGTGCTTCAAAAACTAAAGTTGAAGGTGCTTGTATGATTTAAGGATACTGTGTATTTCTACTAAAGCTGCATCATGATCCTGGAGAATTATGAAAAGCCATGACTGAGTAACAGGGAACTAACGCTTCCATGGCATTGTGTTCAGGTACACACCTACCATTTCCATGCTATAAGGACTCTGGTCTCATCCTTGTGGTCTACACATCAATGCTGGAATTAAGGTCAACTGGCCCCTGGTAAACTCCGGACACTCCCACATTAGCCTTTGGTATAAATGCTAAAGCATCTCTTCTGACCATGGAATAAATGCAGCAACAATAACTCCACATCAGATCAGATATCTAGCACCTGAAGAAATACTGAGACTTGTATTGGCCTAGTATCAGTAAACCATAGGAACAGAAAGGAGAGTACCAATTACGGAGAACACTGTACTGAGCCAGGCATGGTCCTGGGTGCTTTACAACAGAATAAGTCATAGTTACAGTAAGGGTTGATTCTTGGGGTAACTTCAAATAAACCTAAACTCTTGCTTTATTGTAAATTTAAAAGCCTGACATAGGGCAGTCTTCCATGTAAGACTGTAAGAATAGAGTTCAAAAAGTTGCTTTAAAGTAAAAGTCAGGAGCTACAAAGGAAAAAAAAAAGCACAAGATGACCAAGAGCATAGAGGAATCAATTCTCAGTGGAAAAGGACCATGACTTGGATTATAAATTAAAGTGTCATTATCAGAAGCCAGTAACACACTGTCCAACAGAAAAACCTCCACAATGACAAGGTGAGCAAACCGTATATAGGATAAAAGAAATTGCAAATCTGGAAGAAGCCAAGTCACACAATACAACAGAGTTTAGTTATATTGTTCCATTAGAGATGAAAGCCTGAAGCAAGATGTCTAACAGAATCTTCAACAGAATGTTAGGGATGGCCTTTGCTCTGTTGTGGGCAGAAATGATTGTGCTATATTTCACTAGTTTGTGCTCTTATCTCCATGCAGGAGCCCTGAGAAAGATTCCTGAAGAAAATCTGGATGCAGAATACATAGCACCCTTACTTATCATGAGCCAACACTACCAGGTCCCATATTTCAAGGTTAAGAACAAGGTTATTATCCATTCAGGCTGGTGGAACATTGAAATAAACACTGCATTATTCTGCCTCCCATATTGCCTTTGACAAAGATATGTGCAGACAAATAAGTAAGGGCCCAGAAACACAGACCAATGGGCAAAGAAAGATTTTCAACATTTCTGAAAAAAAAAATTCATTAGGGGCTAGAGAGATAGCTCCACAGTTAAGAGCATTTGTTCTTGCAGAGGATCTCAGTTCAATTGCCAGCACCCACATGGCAACTTACAGCCATCTGTAACTCCAGTTTGAGGGTATCTTATAGCTTCTTCTGACCTCTGTGAGCACCAGACAAGCATGCTGTGCACATGTAGACATGCAGACAAAACTCTCAAACATGTGAAATAAATCTGAAACCATTTTTAAAGAACTCACTAAATACGCAAAGTTACATTTCCTTTAGTTTCTCCCTGACGGATGTAAAGCTGACACTGATGGTTTTAGAAGTCTGAGAGGCTTCAGGATGTAGCACATGAGAGTGTTGAGGACCTAGCCTCCTCTCTGGCCTTCCTGCCAATCAAGGTCTGTAGGGCTGAAGCTGTGCCACTTCGCCCTGTTTTGCTGCAGTTATGCCCTGGCTGTAAACCAGACCAAGGCAACCGTGGTAGTGGAATTCTCCACAGCGGCTCCTTGATGTCTAATGAACAG